ATTGTTTATTTTTTTATTATCATTATTGATTATTATTTATTAATTATTATTTAATTATTATTATTATTATTATTATTGTTGTTGTTGTTTTTGTTATCATTATTAGTATCATTATTAGTATCATTATTATTATTATTATTATTATTATTATTATTATTATTATTATTATTATTATTATTATTATTATTATCCTTATCGTCGTTGTTATTGTTATTGATAATAGTAAAATATTATATCACCATCATACTCAAAGGCATAATATCAAAAAAATCATGCTTGCAAAAATTTGCACTAACGGCGCAAAAATTATTAACAAAATTAGTGTGATGTGCTTATTAATGTCTCAGCCTATTTGTGACGCGTTCACTTATAATCACAAACTGGTCACGAATATCAAATATTAAATTCTCGTTATCATCATACAAATGTTGGTCACTAAAGTTTATCCGATAGTATATAAATAACGCAATGTAAATAGGCCAATGTACTTCGAAAGAGATAATCAATATTGATAATATAATCGATATAAAACATAAAACGTGGACTTTTTTTAAACAAGGTATTATATTGGTTAAATGTGTATGTGCTCTACTTGCAGGTACAGAGGTTTGTTACACTGTTGTATTATTTGTATTATTGTAATATTGTATTATTTTCTTTTGAGGAGTGAATCGATCAAAAACTTTACTGAATGAGATTTCATATCAGCTATCCATGCTAAAATATAGAGCTAGCCTATCAAAAAATAAATGCTTATTAAGGTTTAGGCTTCACATATTTGTCACTTATAGCTTTTTCCATAGCCTAATGTATTTCCGATATCTGATTTGTTTTTCTATTCGAATTCGATGCAGTCGCTTGGGTAATGTTCTCGTCGTCATCGTTCATGTAGCATGGTTTTGTATTCGCCGCCGTTCAGCACTTTTAGGTTGGGGGCGCTATTCTGATTACGAACAGAGAACACAATCCTTCCATGGAGGTATATCAAAATTACTCCATGGTCCTTCTAATGTTCCAACCATGGACTAATAACTCAATTCTGTATATATTTTCCTCTGTCATTTACGATTAAATAAGCACGCTGGTGATAATTTTTCAGAAGTAACATTTTATTGAAAGAATAAACGGTAACGATTATATTCCCTTGATTATCAGTAACGATATTGACAACCAAATTTACTGAAATTGTTATGTTTGATAAAAACTGTCATATTATTTATGTAAATCACTTAGTTTTGAATTTAATAATAATATTTGTGAAAAGGAAATTGCATTTGATGCAGACTTAAATGCTGTACTGCATTCGTTATGGAATTATTATGCAGGTGTTTTCTATAGAAAAAGAGTATCCCTGACATTTACTATGAAGTGAGTTAAAGTTAGTTTCTCCTTCGTAAATATAGTGATTTTTAATTGTATGATATTCGTAGTTAGCTTTTTCCCTCTCTAGAAAATTGATCCCAGAAGCAATGGATTAAATAGGTTGTATGCAACAAAGAAGGCATTAGTAAAACGCAGTCTGATTACGAATCCCAATTAAAACATCAAGACGCGAATTTCGTCAAGACGATTGTAGGCGGACATGTTTTGTAAAATCACTGTCGTGGTAGTGATTTGAGTGGCGAGAGTTGTGGGCTTTATCCAGCAGCGGATACATGCAATCAACTATACTAAAAGAAAATAAAAAAATTTAAAAAAATTAAAAAAAGACAAACAAAAATCGATATGAAGGTGCTGGGTCGCATTATCTGCTTGTACCTTCCTACAAGTACGACTTATCCATTCCCACAAATACGAGGAAGGGGAGTCATAACAGTCGCAACAACAAACGACTCATTTTAGTTTCGACAACAATATAAATCATTGAAGAACGCCTCATGGAATTGGCAAGGCATGTTTCGCCTGAAGATGAACAGTGCTTGATTGTGTCGCTGATACCAACACACTAAGCCCTCGCTCAATATCGTTGATATTTCCTGCTTGATTCAAAACTCCTGAGATTTAAGCGGTCGTGTGTCGGCTTATCATCGACATTGTCACGTTATAGATAACGTAGGAAACCAATATGGAAACGCAATGATTTCATTATTTAATTATTATCTCTGTTCCGCATGAGTGCTTCGATGACTAGTGTTGTTCCATACATACAAATGATAGCGACAGAAGTTTACTCCAATCAGATTTGAATTCGACTCCAATGGCCTAGTTCCGAATTAAGTGGCAGACCGTCTTCGAATCTAGGTTGGCGAAATATTGTCCACTTTATTAAAACCTTACCTTAACTTTGTAGTGAATTTGAATGTTATTGGAAACAATAAATTTCCCTTTTTTTATGTGTATAATGGGATTTTGTTTTCAAATGAAAAAACAATAAAACTGAATTGCAAACCGAGTTGGTGTGTTGCTTTGTAACAACACAGAAACTATAATAGGGTCTGTGGTAACAGGAAAGTCACTATATAGGAGTAATGTGATAAAGTTGGTTACAATGTAAGCTATCATAGGACGTGCATATTACGTTAGAAATTATTGAGTTAAGAACGTACTGAAAAATGTATAAAAGAATATTCTAAATATTAGAAAAAGAAGATGACAACAACATTCACCCTTTTAAGGGTGTATTTTCACTCGATAAAGAGTGGAATTCAAATGAGAACGAAAGGCGCTCTTTTAAAGTAAAATTCATTTAAAACTAAAATGCACTTACACAGCAGTAATTTAGGTCTAAATGGCATGTTCTTTTTTATTGTTTGCCACGTGTAATAATTTGAGATGAGCTGTTGTCAACCCTTGTCCACTTCATTCGTCGTGTATTAACGATAGGCCTATCAACTATTGCTAATAATCTACTCAATTTTCTACGCGTAGGCTTAGGCGAGGCTTATAAAAAAGACAAATATTCACTGTATGGTGACAAGCCTATTTGAAAAATTACTTTCTTTTATTAGTTCTGGTCAATAATTGCATTGCAATTTACAGTTTGGCTGCACTATGAAAGATATACTGTGTATCACGAGGCTAAAAGAATTGCAATATTCCGATTCCTTACCGTATGTTAAGTGCTAAAGTTGTAGGGGACAAATTTGTACATTTAAGTTATTAACTTAAACTTAAAAGTTTGAAAGATAAATTATTCCCCGCCATTTAACGGAGAGGTTAATAACATTTTAAAATTTAAAACAAATCTTTTTTAATTCTTGTTTTTCATTTTTTTTTCACTTTGGTGTCGGGTAAGTTTTAGCACCCATTATTCTCTCTTGGCATACCGCTAACCTGTACGGTATATTTTGTACTTCATGTTTTCTGTATGTGGATATGCCGAATCTATAATAAATAAATAATAAATAAAAATAAACATTTCCTCAATTATTTTGCATATCATTTAATTGCCTGGTAATCGATTTGAGGCTTTTTGGAGTAGGCCTATTTCTGTAAATCAGCTAACATTATTTTTTTTAATTCGTTTCTGGTTGGAAGTTAATAACTTATATTTGGTCCTTTTAATTGAGTTGTTCATTTTTTCGCAGACAACATCTTTAATGTTTTTTCCCCCAAACTCTAGTCCTACGGATTTTCCGAGATGATATGCCTATACAAACGTCTCGTCGAGTCACGTCACTTTGCATTCGTAGTTCCATTATGTTTTACATCCACGTGAATGACAGAAATACGTATGCCGCTATTACCGTATAATTAATTGTCTTTAAAAATGTTCAACAGCAGACGACTGTCTTTGCCAAAAAGTACAATTGGTTGGACATAGAAGTAGATATGAAGTGCAAACGAGATATAAAGTGCAAATACAATTATAGTTTTTCTATAATAAAATGCACGGATATGAGTAGCCTATATACCATGGTGGCCCGTGTCTACACCAAATGAAAAAAACAAACGTATAAAGAAAACGGTAATTGGTAATTATAATAATGCAGATCAAATTTTAATTAGTTTGGTATAATTATCACACTTACTTGGTATGAACAATGAAGATGATGTTGGTGACAACTCGTCGATTGTTAGATTTCGAAATCCAGAAACACCGTTTTCGGATCTCAGTAGATGTGCCTAGTCACCGCTGTCAGGTTGTAAAATGAATAAAACTCGTACGCGATTCTGTGTCCAATGCAAGATTAAAAATGTATTGCAGTTAAGTGATTTCTGGCTTACTGCTCGGAGTTCAGCTATAAATAAACAGAATTCTGAATGATAGGCTGTTGATGCGATATCTTTAAAAAATAATGAGTGTTTTTCAAGTCTGTTGTGAGCAAGTTAACAGGGCGCACATCGGGAAAGACGAGACCAGCAAGTGAAACCAAATCGTCTGGGGCTACGTTCTCCAGGATCATTAAGCATCGATTTAGGCACGGTACCGGCGGGAACAATAACACTGACCACTGATCCCTGCGTCATAGTTTGAATGCCGAATGAGTGCTAAACTAAATATTATGTCCATTTTTAGGTATATATGAGATTTAATTTGGAATATCAGAGTTACCCAATAGTTTTATTCAAACATGGAATTGCAGGCCCGTATCGTGAAGGACTGGGGAAGGTCCGCATTTAAAAACGAAAAATTTATATTCGTAGATATATTTATTCCAGAGTATCGGAGATCATACAAGCCAGAAGTATTCCTGGTCGGCATTTCTTAAGCTTTCCCAGCTAACAATATTACGTTATTGTATAACGGAATGGTTTCCAAAGGGTCCACTTTCCACTAAAACGAACCTCCCACAAATTAAGTCACGCTACAGGCCTAAATTGTGTTATACGGAGAAGACAGGGTTGTTATTCAAAATCGTAAAAAAAAAAATCAAAACTCGCGAATGTTTCCGATGGGCCTTCATTGTAGAAAATGGTTTAAAAAGTGAATTTTCAATTGATCATTCGTTATGTTATTTATTGGATATCCATTAACTGGTCTATCATGAGTCCCATTGGTATGTTCTAACAGAAGACTCAGTGTGATCACAGTGGTCAGTAACGCCAAGATACCAGTGTGACCCCCAGAAAATACATGCACTCCCACCCTCGCTCACCAAGCGCCCCTTTTCTACTGATTGCAAAGCAAAAAATAAAAAATAAAATACTCATACACACCTCTGGTGTTCTTGTTGCTGTTCTTGTTGTTTTTAAAAGCGTCCAGCGTCGGCAATTTTGAGCGGACGAGCAGGAAATGTTGTAGGCCTACACATAAACTAGAGGTTATTTCAAACAAACGTTCATGGGCCTTTTTTAAATTTGACCCTTTAGGGTGCCCCCTACACCTACAAAACAAAACAGGGGTTTCATCAAAGACTGCCATGGAATCCAAAGGTGAGTTCGAATCGCGTCTTGGTACTTAATTTTTTTCTTCTAATTTTAAGACATTTTATTTATTTTTTTAACGATTTTCTTTTATTTTAAGTAGAAACTTGTTACTAACCTGCAACCAGATGAATTTATTCAAAGAGGCCTATTTATTTATTTTGTTTTTATTTTTGTCTTTTTATTGTGAACTCTTGCTAAAAACCCAATATAATAACTTACGCCACTGTTTAATGTATTTAAGAATTCAAGATATTTCCTCTGATTTAAGCATGTTTTCCTAGTATCAATAAAAAGCCTCGTCTGCAAGGTGCATCATGAGCGTTGAATAGAGGCACCTCAGTTTAAGGCGCGGACCGGTGAGCGTTCGCACTTTTTACTAACCAACCATGCACCGTTCTTTTACTAACCAACCATGTACGTCTTTTTACTAAACAAACCTACCCCGTCTTTTTACTAACTAAGCCTACATCGTATTTTGACTACCTCAACGTACACCTTCTTTTAAATAACAAAGCTACATCGTTTTTGACTAATTAAAACTACATTGTCTTTCATTAACTCAGCTCCTACACCGTATTTTGCTAGCTAAACCTACACCGTTTTGTTTCTAAATAAAACCTACACCGTCTTTTACTAACCTAAACCCTCATCGATATATCCATCATGTTTTTACTCACTAGCCACAGGTCTGTTTTAAACTTAATCTGTCTCGCGTCTTTTTAATGACTGAACCTACTGTTAATTTGGAAAATATTAGAACATTAAGATATCCTCAATCATCGGCTTTTTATTGATTAATTTTTAATATCAATTTAAAAAATATTTGTATTATATAATCATTTAATTAATTTAATTTAATAAAAATTATAAGGAGCAATTTATCTATATAATTGTGTGGATAGGTCTATGAACTTTATTCCCAGGGGTGGCAATTTCCGCGAAAACATATTACAAACAATCCATATGTTTATAAAAGCATAAATCTATATTTGTCAAAATTGTATTCGGACTTATTAGATACTGTATTCAGAAACCGGTACACGGCAAGGAAAATATAGCAATTTCTAAAACAATCAACTGTTCCGCTAAGCATAGTCGCTTACCAGTGCAGTTTTGCTTGTGTCCTCGGGTACCATTTACTGTAATTATTTCTTACTTCGATGGGACGTTAAGCCGTTAGCTCCGTGTGCATAATATCATATAGGCCTAGGCCTATGCACAAATATTTCAGTACACTGTTGAATAATTCAATAATAGTAAGGGGTGTTATCTCCCGTTGTACGACAATGTTAGGCGCTATAATGAGCAATGGCGACGTACCAGGAGTCTTGGAATGGAGGAGGAGTGAAGTGATAGTTCTAAATTAAAGTCAGGTACCGGAGGGAAAAAAAATGTTGATATGTTGTAGAACTGATTTTTCTAAGACAGAAAAAAGTAGTTTGATCAAAAACTGAGCAACGGTGAATGAGATACAGATTTTTGAATATTTATAAACTGGAGAAAAAGGTGTAAAAATTAGTGGTTGCGCCCCTTTTTCCCCCAGTTTTTAAATATTAAAAAATTTGTATCTCGTTCACCGTTCCCCAGTTTTTTGTCAAACAACTTTTTTACTGTCCTAGAAAAATCAGTTCTACAACATATCAAACATTTTTTTTCCTCCGGAGTCTGACTTTAAGGTGATATGAGGTGATTTTAATTTATTTTAGCGTGACCTTTTTGCTTCTAACATTTTCATTGGGTGGAGGTGTAGGGGGGATGGGTGACTGTGGACTAGCTTTTTTTAGGGGAGGACGCACTCTAGATGCGCCACTTGTACAGAGGCTATGACGGGCTCTCTGATTCAATAATACACGTTGCCTTAATAATTTTCAATAAGGATCGTATGTACAGATACATATTTGTTTTTTTTTTTAATTTCTAAATAATACATTTTAGCTTCGGCTATGAACATTCATTAAGTCAAAAATATTGAATCTATTGATTGACTGAAACATTTGAGCAGTATTCCTAATATTTGATATAGATGTGGCATGTTAGAACGCGAGTGTTGGGCGTTGGTTACAAATTAATATTTATAATAATTTTAAATAATCAAAATTGCACCATTCCAAGTAAAGTGAGAAATGCCAAAGACGGGTTACCTCACTCGATGTTAAAATTTTAAAACGGAGGACTACACAGGCTTGTGCAACATTGAGGTGTATAGGCCTATGTACTGCTACGAATAAAAGTGTGTGGTGTTGTCGGGGTGTTGTTACATTATAGTCATACGGTCGTTCTGAAGACCTATGCACCCAGGCGTTCTTCAAATACTAAGTACCCTACCACTCTTTAAATACACTGTCATCGTTAAAAAATGGCTCATGTCAATGGTGCAGGATAATAATGTTGATTTCACTGAAGAAGTAACGTGTGGAGCGCGGGTCATGCGGCTTTGTTTTTGCTCCGTCATTGGGAATTCGATGGCTCTTGAGTGGCAGTTGTAATGATCCGAGACCATTGTTCAGCAGACGACATTACGAAAAGGTGTGTCAATCATCAGCCAACTACTTACAATTTAAATCATCATAGCTGAAGATAACATTTCTGCTAAAGTCTCTATCGAGTGGTATTTTGAAGATACCCATGTGAAATGCAGAAAAAAAAAAAAAAAAAAACTGCAGTTTTCGTATCGTGTAAGTAAGTTTGAGGCGCAATAGGCCTATATTATATTTGTGAGGCAAAGTGAACGCCCTAAAGATATTGGAGCGTGCGTTCTGCTTTAAAATAAATTGGTACATTCTATTATAATAAATTGGTACATTCTATTAAAATGTCTTTTTTGTTTTAAAAAAAATCCGATATTGTATGTGTCGCGTTGGTCCCATCATTAATTTCAAGAATGGTGTTTTGTTAAGCTAAACATTTCATGTTTCTGATACCGTATATTCTTGCGTATGAGACGAGGCTTTAAATAGCAGTGTTAAGATCGAAAAACAAGGGGTTGTCATATTATATGCGCAGCACATACACATGTTTTATTTATGTTCGTCTTATGTGTAGCTCGTCCTTTACACCCAAATTTACTACTGAAATAAAGCTTATAACAACTAGTATTAATGAACGCAATCTTGAAATAAGATGTTGATAAATATTTAAAAACCCATATTGGTATTACAGTTGGAAGATTAGCCTAACATTTGGCTCCGATTTTAGCCAGGTAGATGCATTATCAAGACCATAAAGAGCAGATGTATTATTATGTCCTTTATTCGAACACTGTATTTACCTTTCTTTGATGATTTATGTATATAATTTAACAGTGTTAACGGCTACCTTGATTTATGTTTCAGTGTATGCTATTATTTGTTTCTAGCCGTACTTATTGTGTAATGGAGTGTATCTGGTGGTATTTGAATCTGTTTAACCATGAAGCCTCCATGGTCTAATGGTTATGACGCTCGCCTTGACAGCGAGAGGTCGCAGGTTCGAGTCCCGCCAGAGGCATTTTATTACACAATTTCTTTATTCGTTTGTTTTTACAGGACTACATTCGTTGAGAGCTATGC